GAGGTGTTTCCCGAAACAGAACAAGCTTGGGATCGTCCATACACCGCTACTCGATGCATTAACAATGTTGTCTATCGAATTCACAAGTTTTAGGAGGTGATAGTGCTTCATGTAGGAAACCCTCTTTATGTCAAGAAGTCTGTAGTGGGTGGCCTAGATTTCGTTAGTAACAAAGATTAGATTTTTTAAGTCTCACACTCTGGAATACTTCTAGAACAAGTCCAGCTCCTATGAATAGTTACCACGAGATTGGAAGAGTTAAATCAGTTTTAGGACAGTGTCATGCAAACAAGTCATCATACCCGAAGAAGCGTCAGGTGGCCTTTAGTGAATTGCCGAACTTGGGCTAGTAACAAAGAAGTATCTAGAATCTACATTCTGGAATCTCTCTAGAACAAGTCATGCTTCTACTTACAAGATAATAAGAGGCGAAGTAAGAGCGAAGAAGTAATTCAGTGGATGATAGAGTAATGCTCGAAAATAAAATAGTGCTACAATGAACACCAAATTTCAAAACTGGACTGGATGAAAACAAATAAAAATAACAAGAAATATTTTTTAGGTATTCGCAATGTGGCACAAACACCATACATATATGACCAGTGTGTTGGTTTTTGAGTATACAAAAGTTAATTTGAAAGAATATTGTCATGAAAAGGTAGAACAATAAATATTTTTGAGGAAATAAAATAGATGGTTCGATCTTTTTAACTATTCCTGTTCCTTTAATTTCCTATATTAACAATGTAAACATCATTTAAGAATATAGAAACAAAATTTTTAACGTTTTTTAGTTTATTTACAAAACTTGACGTTAGTGTGTAATCAAACTCCACACAGGAATAATTGAAGTTTTCTGTAAAGTCAAAAAATGTCTGTAATAATAGAAAGAGTTCACTACTGTTAAAAATAAATTAAGAAGGCCGTTTTGTCAAGAAAAAGACACTATGCAAACAGCTTCTAAACCATTAATATTTATCAAAATAACATAATCACTTTTTAACATTATCGTTTTCAGTAAGACTTTTTAGAGAAAAATAATTAAAAATTATGCAAATGTCAAAAACTGAACACATATACGATTTGGTTAAAGCACAATATACAAGTTGCTATAACTGCCAAAAACTAATTTAAAGGTGTGAATCAATATGATTGATATATTAAACCGTAAAAAATAAGGCCAAAAAACAAAGAAGAAAATGACAAAGCTATAAACTTTAATTGGAATAGTTTAATAAATTTACGTTTTAAATAATAATAATAATAGCCCTGAATGAGGCGAGACTCCTTGTAATATCATCATCTGAAGGCAAGAAGTGCCCGTTTCTGTTTCTTTTTTTTTTTTCAACTAAAACAGTCTTATTCCAACCTGCATAATAGTAATAAACTTTAAGTCCCTAAAAAAAGAGCTCAAGCCACATAAGTGTACTCTTTCCTGTTTTCTGGCGTCCTGGCTAGATACTCGCGCTCAATCAGACCCTCTATCCTTTTCTTAATGATGACCGGTGACGGTAGAAATCTGCTCTTTAATTGTTCAGTCACTTCGGTTACCAGTAAATTATGAGCCATTCGTTTTCTTGATTTCATAATACGAACGATTGCTGCTTCTATCTCGTGTTTCCGATCTTCATCTACTTTATTTCTAGTCTCCCTGCGCTCAGGTTCACTTTCGCCTTTCGCTGCTACAGTCTGTATTTTGACCCGATGGAGTTTCGACGTAAACGAGTCATTTACGAAGAATTCATTAGATGACTCAATGTCTTTCGTTTTGGGATTCTTAATAAGTATACGTTGACTTGCCTTGCCCATAGCCAACGATTGTAATGCTCGTATTAGATCCCTTTCTGGAATATCGGTCTCATTCTGTATTTCTTCATACGTTAACTTTTCGTGATTGTTGAATAACATTAATATAACCATTTGATAAGTAGAAACTTGTATTATATGTTTCCGAGGTCCAGATCTATTCGACAACAAACTAGTCGACGAGGAACAAGCTCCGTCTTTGTCACAGTCTTCTCTTTTCGGACCGTAGAAAACAGCATTTAAATCTGCATTACCCAACTGAGGTTGGAGGGTGAGTTGTCTACCGCTATGCTTTCCTAAATAGAATCTGTAACAATAAACAAATAAAGTATCTTATCTCTTCAATAAACGCATGCAGTAGAATCACGATTGTGTCAACTGATAAAAACAACAGTTGTTGATTTTATTGGAATGTACCTACACGTTGACGAAAGTTATATTTAGTATACAATAAGCATCTATAATCATTATTCAACATAAGCATGCACACAAATATAAAACGCTTATAATGCTCATTAAATGACACTAAATAATCAATCAGTAAAGAAATATTATTATTGTATTTCGCTGCTCACAATAAAATTTTACTTCTTGATCGAGAAATATATACAAGTATTTTTCCATTCTAGAATACCCTAAATTCTGTAATGTTAATATTTTTCTTTTGTCTGGTCCAGGAGGTCCAACATATGTATCTCTCACAGCTTTGGAAATAGGTTCTCTGTTTTGTTTTATCTTAGAAATTGCAGATTTTGAGATAACATACTAAAAACGCTTTGCAATTTGGCCATCATTTAATTTTTGAATCACAAGCGACTTCTCATAAAGAGTAAGACTCACTTTTTAGGCGACATTTCAGGTAAATATTAATATCTTTAACAATTACTTACGATTAGATCATAAATATTATTTATTTTATTTATGTAAATACAAGATTAAAACCTCCCTCTAACTAACAAGACTACGGAAATATCAAATATGTCAGAGATGTACATTGAGACACTTTGTTTGCATTCGCTGGGGACATAAAATGGAGTTGCATAATTCGCAGTTGACACTCCCGCGATTCTCTTGTATTATGCTTTTATTGTTATCTCTATGAAACTTTTTTTTNCATAAAAAAACAGTTTTCACGTTATCTCTATGAAACTTTTTTTTAATTTTTAAAGTTTAAATATAAAAAAAAAAGATTTCGCTTGCAATACCCTTACATGAGTAAATAAATTATAAAATAAACCTCATTGTATGATTCAAGAAAATAATTTCAAAAATAATTACTTTCAAAATAAATAAGTATACACCCAGTTTTTAGAAAATGAAAGGTAAAATAAAGAAAACCTTGGGGTTTTCCATTTAAATAATACAGTCACACAGTGCAAAGACAGTATATCATAGAATAAAAAAAATTATGTAAACAAAATTTAAGATTTGCGGAATTCATATCGACAGCAATGATTTTTCATTACGGCCAACATTATTTATGGCCTATGAATGTTATGTTCCATTTATAAAATTTAGCAAACAGTTCGAAACAGTGTCACGCACCGAGTGACACTTTCTAAATGGAAAACCCTAGGTGTTATGCTACCTTCTAAATGTATCAAATGCAGCTAAAGGACCGGGAGGTATGTGGCACTTAGGAGTGGCGCTTTGTGTCGGCCAAAATCCGGTTGTTAAAACCCGCATAAATAAATCAACGCCAGCTAAATTTATCTGAAAAAAAAAGCACGTTAAGTTAATAAATCAAGTTTTTCTGTTATACAAATAAAACCTCTGATTTAGACACGTGCTCTTTAAACTCTTCCATAATCGTGTTTGAAACAGTCATATCCTTAAACATACCCTCCAATTTTGAAGTAAATTGACAACCACATTCGGTCTGAAAAAAATACTGTTAGAAATGTTCTGTTTACAAAAATAAGAGTACCTTTAATTTCGAAATCATATTTTTTTCCCAATCATCACTAACTGATTTGTTTAACAATAATCGTTTCGCCAAATGTTGCTTATAATAACGTTCGAAGACATCCTTTTCTTGTAAAAATCTAAAAAGTACCATTGACTTGTCGAGGACATGCTCAATCTCTTGCTCTGACATCTACAAAAAAGAATTAAAAAATAAACATAAACAGTAAAAAATGACAACAAAACTTACCCCTTTTACACCTTTTTTCAGTTTATCATCAATAAAAAGTGAAAGATATTCGGGTGATTTAGGATTTAAATTAAGAAAATGTTCAAAATCAGACGCAATCATCTGTTTAAAAATTTTATCATTATTAAACGAATTAACTAGAAAATGGTCAAAGCGATCTTTCAAATCCAAGAGTGCTTGGACGAATGTAATTGCGTTTGTAGGTGACTGATGCTCTTCCTCTTGAACAAGAGCTTTACCTTGTTCACGTAAGTAATGGCTTACACAGTCAGCAATCGTTTTTAAACCATCTTGAACTCGTCCAAACAACTTGTACATACACGCAAGATCCTCGGTCTTTTGGTTCTTAAGCATATGTACGACTCCGGAATTTTCCATTTCAACGATAGTTTTCATATGTTTTTTTATGAGTTCTTCTTCAACTACTTCCACAATACGCGGTTCCGTGGATTCGTCTAAATAATGCTTGGCCCGTTCCGATTCTTCATTAATTCTCGTTTCTACTTTTTTTATATAAACAGATGCACTATTTTCTTCTAAAAATTTCTGACTTTCGACCTGAAATAAAAATCAAATAATGTTATAAGTCAATAAAGATTTTTAATAATGATAGATGAGAAACCCCATTTTATTATTGAAAATCATGAACGGTGTAGACATTTGAAACATATAAAAAAATAATTATTTCTCCAGTATCAATTGCGCAAGTATAGAAGACTAAGCATGACACATGAGAATGATACTTGTAAAACACGACTTAAACATACTCTTCTAATGAATATTAAATTGAATAATAACAAAATGAGCACCAAATACATTGCTACAAAAATCCAGTTACTCTTCATAATTTCTTTTTTCTTAATTTTCAAGAGAGGAAAGAGAAACGACTCACTCTTTATATCTGCAGCTTTCAAAAATATTCAGTAGTACAAAGAAAATTACTTGTTTTGTAAATGTAATAAGCTATTAAGAAAATCGGCCATGTATACTTGTTACCAATACAATTATTTTTAAATTATTCACCTTGTAAAACTCAGCAGATTGTTGCAAAAAAGGTCTCTCAAAGTCTTCTTCATATACTGATCGTGAGTTAATACCAAGAACCATCAACATTTGACATGCATTTTTAATTGCTATACGATCAACTTTCTCACCTCTTCTTTCACGCATTACCATATTTAATAAGGTATCGCATAAATGATCTCTAACATGACCAAAACGAACAACCTTCAAAAAACAAACTATTACATATAAGCTTCAACTTTATCAATGTTACTTACTTGGTCCCTAAATATAATCAAACCTAAGTTGTAAACATTATCAACATCATTTTGTTGTACATATACTCGATCCATGTACATCAGAATATCTCGTATCATTACCATAGAAGTTTGGTGATCATTCCAAGCCTGATTTAATGTAGTTAAAAAATTGTTATGTAAAGCTCTCAAAACATCCTCCCGTACCTGTTAAAAAATTATTATACTGTACATGCAAGGTGTTTTACATTTAATTCAAATAAAAACTACCTTTGTTTCTAAATGTTGTGTAACTACTTCTTTAAGACCTGTATACAGACGTTCTCCATGTTTATGAAGAACCATTGTATAAGCATTCCTATATAATTCTTCAAAACTTAATCCAGAATTATTTTTCTTCTGAATTTCTTGAATAGCATTTTTAAGCAGTGCCCAAATGCTCTCCACATACTTCTCGTCCATTGTCATCTATTAAACAAAATTTATGTAGAACAGCATAGAATTGGTAATCCAGTAACCAAAGTACCAAACTAGGCTTTAAGAGATCTTCAGGTGATCTCCAGCCTGAAAATCCTCCAATTTTTCCACTCATAAATTAAGCCATTAATTTGTACAGCTATATGAGATATGTATCAACGTAAATTTGTTTAACAAATGATATTCTTTTCTGTTTCATTTGTAAAAATTATTTGAAAACTGAACTGTCAAATTTTTTAAATGTGTGTTTCAAATTTTGTTTCAAATACAAAAATAATAAAAATACATTTTACCACAGTGTGCCACAGTTGCCACAGTGCCTCTTTGATCATTTGTGCAAATATAACCAAACTTTTCAAGCAAACCCAGGCTAGATACAAATATAGGTAAAAACTGATATTCTAATTGAAAAATTTGGCAAGGCATTACAATTATGTTCCAAATTTCGTGGAAATATCATACCAAGTCAGGGGCAAAAGACAAATTCCAAAAAGCATACAACTTACAAAAAATACTTACTGGAAATGCGCGGATTCGCATCTTGGACTCCTTTTTGTTTGAATTTCCTCCTTTCATCATTTTGACAAAGTACTAATTCACTCACTTCGTAAGCTGCAGCAAAACACTTTTCAAACATAAAAAAACAGTTTTCACTGTACATAACCAATCTGACCTTGATAATGACAGTTCATTAAACATACAAAAATTGTGTTTACGTACATCTCTTTTCTTAATTTCCCTAAATTAATATTCTTTATAATTTACCAGTCACAAAAATGACGGACATTTTAACGACACCTCGGTAACCAAAAAACATACAACACCTCACTTTTTCCAAAAAGCTCGCGTAATTCAACTTGTCACAAGAATATCATATAAGTATTTATCGAATTTGAAAGGCAAAAGCAAATTTCAGAAATATTTATTCAAGCGCCAGTCAGAACTCCGTTAAACACTTCGCATTAGAGAAAGTCGTATTCGATTAAGCAAAAATTAATATTTATTGTGACTATTTAACTATGAATTCATCAGCAACCAACACAAATCTTTTCACAGCACCCATAGAATCATATATAGGAATCATAGCTACGATTTGTCTATGGCTATGATCAAGTCCTGTGATTCTGACATCCAATATAAATAATGCATTGATTCAAACTTTACCAATAAATTGTGCAGCGTTTGCGGGTTGTAAATATGTGAGTATCATAATTATGTGTCAATTAGATCTGTTAAAAAAAATTGTTTCGGGTACAAGTGGAAATTAAGTCAATTTATTCAAAAACTGCTGAAAATATAATAATTTAATTGACGGCAATTGATTGCGTGCACTTGTGCTTCAAGATTGAACTATTACGGTAAGCGGAGTTAATTTTTACATTATTTATTAATAATGATTACAAATAATACTACATTTTTCAATGGCTTACTATGATTATATTGTTATCTATGGTTCACTAATGGCGCACGCGTATTAGTAATATCAATGTTAAAGTAAGTATTATGTGATTATTACTAATAAATAACATAAAGATAATTTCTTGTTACCAAATTAGACCAGTCTTTTCAAGCATAAATGACACGCAATCAATTGGCGTCAATTACATTATCATATCTTATGTAATTTTTTAATAAATTGATATTTAATTTCCACCTGCATCCGAAACAGTTTTCCTTTTTCTTAAACAAAACTAATGCACGCACAATTATGACACCTACATGTTTAGAACCCGCAAACTAGGTACAATTTATTGGTAAAGTTTAAATCAGAGGATTGTTTACATCGGGTGCCAGATTCACACGACTGTATTATCATAACATAGAATTAATATAATAGAGTCAGCATCATAGATCAAAAAAATATGTACTGTCATTGATGTCTCACTTGTTTGTATAGAGTTCTAGTTTGTATTGGATTTAGCGCCATCTAAACATTCAGATACAAATTAAACGTAAAACAAAATTGTCATTGTTTTATTATTTTAGAGGTGATAAAAATGATTAAGTAAAAATTTTAACGAGAAAAAACAATCCTAACAATAAGAAGACTATCGTCACATGACAAATTTTCACTTAATCACATAAAATTATAGTAATAAAATAAGAAGTTAAAATGAATGTCATTATAAGTGTTGTACTCTAATTGTAATACAGCTANCTTTTCTGTTTCATTTGTAAAAATTATTTGCAAACTGAACTGTCAAATTTTTTAAATGTGTGTTTCAAATTTTGTTTCAAATACAAAAATAATAAAAATACATTTTACCACAGTGTGCCACAGTTGCCACAGTGCCTCTTTGATCATTTGTGCAAATATAACCAAACTTTTCAAGCAAACCCAGGCTAGATACAAATATAGGTAAAAACTGATATTCTAATTGAAAAATTTGGCAAGGCATTACAATTATGTTCCAAATTTCGTGGAAATATCATACCAAGTCAGGGGCAAAAGACAAATTCCAAAAAGCATACAACTTACAAAAAATACTTACTGGAAATGCGCGGATTCGCATCTTGGACTCCTTTTTGTTTGAATTTCCTCCTTTCATCATTTTGACAAAGTACTAATTCACTCACTTCGTAAGCTGCAGCAAAACACTTTTCAAACATAAAAAAACAGTTTTCACTGTACATAACCAATCTGACCTTGATAATGACAGTTCATTAAACATACAAAAATTGTGTTTACGTACATCTCTTTTCTTAATTTCCCTAAATTAATATTCTTTATAATTTACCAGTCACAAAAATGACGGACATTTTAACGACACCTCGGTAACCAAAAAACATACAACACCTCACTTTTTCCAAAAAGCTCGCGTAATTCAACTTGTCACAAGAATATCATATAAGTATTTATCGAATTTGAAAGGCAAAAGCAAATTTCAGAAATATTTATTCAAGCGCCAGTCAGAACTCCGTTAAACACTTCGCATTAGAGAAAGTCGTATTCGATTAAGCAAAAATTAATATTTATTGTGACTATTTAACTATGAATTCATCAGCAACCAACACAAATCTTTTCACAGCACCCATAGAATCATATATAGGAATCATAGCTACGATTTGTCTATGGCTATGATCAAGTCCTGTGATTCTGACATCCAATATAAATAATGCATTGATTCAAACTTTACCAATAAATTGTGCAGCGTTTGCGGGTTGTAAATATGTGAGTATCATAATTATGTGTCAATTAGATCTGTTAAAAAAAATTGTTTCGGGTACAAGTGGAAATTAAGTCAATTTATTCAAAAACTGCTGAAAATATAATAATTTAATTGACGGCAATTGATTGCGTGCACTTGTGCTTCAAGATTGAACTATTTCGGTAAGCGGAGTTAATTTCCACATTATTTATTAATAATGATTACAAAAAATACTACATTTTTCAATGGCTTACTATGATTATATTGTTATCTATGGTTCACTAATGGCGCACGCGTATTAGTAATATCAATGTTAAAGTAAGTATTATGTGATTATTACTAATAAATAACATAAAGATAATTTCTTGTTACCAAATTAGACCAGTCTTTTCAAGCATAAATGACACGCAATCAATTGGCGTCAATTACATTATCATATCTTATGTAATTTTTTAATAAATTGATATTTAATTTCCACCTGCATCCGAAACAGTTTTCCTTTTTCTTAAACAAAACTAATGCACGCACAATTATGACACCTACATGTTTAGAACCCGCAAACTAGGTACAATTTATTGGTAAAGTTTAAATCAGAGGATTGTTTACATCGGGTGCCAGATTCACACGACTGTATTATCATAACATAGAATTAATATAATAGAGTCAGCATCATAGATCAAAAAAATATGTACTGTCATTGATGTCTCACTTGTTTGTATAGAGTTCTAGTTTGTATTGGATTTAGCGCCATCTAAACATTCAGATACAAATTAAACGTAAAACAAAATTGTCATTGTTTTATTATTTTAGAGGTGATAAAAATGATTAAGTAAAAATTTTAACGAGAAAAAACAATCCTAACAATAAGAAGACTATCGTCACATGACAAATTTTCACTTAATCACATAAAATTATAGTAATAAAATAAGAAGTTAAAATGAATGTCATTATAAGTGTTGTACTCTAATTGTAATACAGCTATACTCTGTATCACGCAAAGTGATAAAATCGCCAAGAAGTGACCGGAATTACAATTATGGCATCTTTAAAATGAAACATGTTTTGTATTCTGTTCACTATTTGTACCTACAGAGCTTGCAAACGTTTATAAGAGTGTTTTCAAATATTAAAGAGTATATTTCGTAGCGCACAAATTTAACAAAAGGAATATGATCGTTCGCCTAATATTTATATCAAAATATATCAATGTATTGTACATTTTATGTAAACAATTGCAAATAGTACAAGTAATTATCGTAATTACCTATTAAGTATCTCTAATGATAATAACCTCTTTACTATAACCATGTTATTTTTTTATTTTCTTACGACGAAAAATGCCTAAAAATTGTTTAGACATCTTTTGCTTAAAATTAAGCATCTATTTCGATTCCTAAGCGTCACTTAACTTGCGGTGCAAACATTTCCGTCTTTTAAGAACTACGTAAAGATAAGTAGGTAGTACTTATCTACGTCGATGCAAACTGGCATGAGAACATCACCCGAATATTACCTATTTTTAATTAAAAAATTATTAGGATAGAAATTCA